CTGCTCCTGCCTCTCCGGTCACTTTCTTTTTTTGGTTACTCCTCACCCGAGGCTATTTTTCCATTGATTTTTTAGACAGAGTGAAAGGGAGGGAGGGAGAGAAGGAGAGAGAGATAGAAACATCGATGTGAAGAACACATATTGATTGGTTGCCTCCAACATGACCCCACAGGGGCCGGGGATCAAACTTGCAATCCAGGTACGTGCCCTCGACCGGGAATCAAACCCGGGACCCTTCGGTCCACAAGCTGACACTCTAATCACTGAGCCAAACCGGCCAGAGCTCTGGGGTCACTTTCAAAGGACAGAGTTTCCTCCACGCTGAACCAGCATCTCCCAGTGCCCCTCCCCTGGCTTTTCCTTCAAAAACTTCACAGACGGACACGTATTTCTCTACAATAGCCAGCGAGAATGTGGTGTTTTTTCTACTCAGAACACTGAGTCCAGTGGCCTGTCAGGTCTATGGCATCCTCACAGGTTACACTGGCCCTACCTGCCCCCCCCCGACATGCACGTCCTCACCCCACTCTCCGCAGGGCAGTTCTGTGTACTGAAGAGCTGTTTCCTGGTGTTGAAAGGAACCCTGGGCTGTAACTGATTCACTGATGGAGGCTCATGAAGGACAAATTTGAGAGTTAAAACCTCCAAAGGGGACGCAGTGCTAAGGGGTCCCAATTTTGTGAGTCTTACCTCCAGGAAGGACCAAGTTCTCACAGTGAATGTTGTGGCCCCATAAACACAAAAACTAATTCTAAAGGCCCATCATTTCAGTTCCTTGTGTCCAGTTTTCATCAGAAAATTACAGGCATACTAAAAGACAAATCACAGTTTGAAGAGGCGAAGCAAACACCAGAAATAGACTCAGATGTGGCAGAGGTGTGGGAATGATCAGACCCAGAAATAAAACAACGATGATTAATGTGTTGAGGACTCTGAGGAGAACAGTGGGTGATGCAGCCGAGCCTGGACATTCTAAGAAGGAACCGAAAGGAAATGCTAGGACCTCAGCACTATGAACAGAAGTGAACACCTTCGAGGGGCTCATCCCTGCACTCAACATGCCGAGGAAAGTATCAGTGAGCTTACAGAAAGGTCCATGGAAACTTCCAAATGCCGGCAACAGGAAAAACAAATTAAGAATGTAACAGAGTATTCTAGAATGTTACGATTCCTGATACTGTATACTTAAGGGTCACACACTAGAGGCTGAGATCAGGAACACGGCAGGACACCCCGTCTCACAGCTTCTGTTCAACGCTGTGCTGGACGTGTCCACCAACACAACAGGGCAGGGCAGGGCCAGCAGGGGAGGCCCTGGCATGCGGTGCTCACTGTGCCCGTGTCCCCTCTCAGACCAAGGGCAGCACCACCAGACGGTTTGGGGTCTTGGCCTGTGTGCCCCTAGGAAGGCAGGACAGGCGCTGGCTCCCCCAGGAAGCTGCAGTGGCCCCGAGGCTGCTGGCTGCCCGACTGCAGAGTCTGGAGAGGAGCTGAGCTCCCAGCAGCCGGCCACCCTGCTGGGCAAAGCAAAGGGGGGTTTATTCTCTTTACACAGATGTTGGCTCCAGCTGAGAGTGTTTCTCCCAAGAGGACCATCGAGACAAGAAGGGTTCCTGCAGGAGGGGACCTGTGGGAGCTGCAGACCCCACACCCACCACGGGGCCCAGCTCCTAACCAGGTTCCGGGCCCAGTGCAGGTCTGGGCTGGCAAAAGAATCTTTTAATTCAAGGGAAGTCGAGAGCTTTGCTGACCCATGATGCTGGAAGAGAGATCACTGCCCGGAAAGGTCGCAGGGCTGTGGGGGCCTGCCCAGGTGCAGTTTGCGTCCTGTAAGGTTGAAAATGGGAGGGTCTGGAAGCCACGGGCCAGCCACGCAGCCTGGATGTGGCTGACCTGCTGAGGCCAGGGTGCGGGCAGTGTCTGTGTCCACCAGGCAGCGTGGAAGAGCACGTCCCCCGGCCACACTTCACACCTGGACACTTTAGAAAACGTTCCTGAAGGCTTCCCATGCTGGCATTTGGTTTTATCTGCAGGGTCATCCTGTCCAGTAGACCAAGCCTGTGTTACAGACTCCACAGCCGAGGGATCCATAGTGGTGAGGTGACAAGCATGCGCTGATCTTTGGTTGTGTGCCACAGCGCACCCCGACAGTGTGGGGTGCTAAGAGGCCAGGGGGCTGTGCCTATAGGAACTGAGAAGACATGCTCTAGGTTTGCTTCCCGGAAACCACGGGGCGTGGGGGGGGGGGTCAGGCTCCAAGAGGCATTCCCTTGGTCACATGCTGACCTCCCCCACTGTCACAGCTGTGAGTGGGCAAAGAACTCCAAGCACTGTCCTCTCCAGCACCCCAGGCTTTTCATGGGGAGGAGGAGGTCAACTTTGTATTGAAGTCTAGCATCCAGCCTTTTAAAAAACACAAAAAGAACGACACAGGCAGATGGTGGGTTTAATCATAGGTACCACTGCTAAATGGCCTCGTGCGGTGTGAGCACATCCCCGGAAATATTCATCTAGATGGGACACGGGTGCCAGAAGGGCCTCAGAGTCACGTGTTACTTCTGACAAGTTCAAGGTGACAGCATCTTTCTGAGGCGACTTCCCTGTCTTCTAGCCATGAGCCCGGAGGCTCCCCTCGCTGGATTCATGGGCACCCGAGCTTCTGGTTTGCGAGACAGCACGGGACTGTTCCTCACACCATCAGAGGCTTAATTCTCTGGGAGCTCAGCCGCAGGTGTGGGGACGCCAGGGCACTCGTGCTGTGTGAGCGCCCCCTCCTGGTGCCTCAGAACAGGCAGCCACAGGTGTCCAGGGTGTGGTCAGAAGCAGCACAGGGAGCTGGGGGCCTAGGTGGGGCCCTTGAGACCAGAGCCGGGCCACAGACGCAGGCTTCTGAGGGCCCCGGCACAGCCAGGGCCACCACAACTCCCTGGGGCCCGGGCCACACGAGCACCCCCTCCCCCAGGAGCCTCTTCATTGGAGCCGAGGACACAGGCTCCCCTGCCAGGGAAAGTGGGGGAAGTCCTGGAAGAATGGTCATTCACCCCAAAGAAACAGAGCACCCCTTGTTTGTTTGTTTGTTTGTTTGTTTGTTTGTTTGTTTGGTGGTACGTGCCCCTAGCAGGAACCAAACCTGGGACTCTCTGGTCCACAGGCCAACGCTCAACCGCTGAGCCAAACTGGCCAGGGCCAGAGCACCCTTTAACTGACAGACGTGAGTACCACCCGCCCCAGCATCAGCGGGACTGGAGCAAGGCCAGGACAGCCGGACTCAGGCCTTCCGTGGTGCCCTCGGACCTGCGGCGTGCTGCCCGCTGACGCTTGTGCAGCGCCCAGTGCTCTCGTTAGCTCAAGGTTACCCTTCCATGCTCAGGCCTCTGAAGCCGGCAAGATTTCCTGCCTTCTCGGGGCCCTCAGCTCTTTCCTGTTCTGGGAGGTCCTGTCCAGTGTTCCCTCCGACGGACACTCTCACGCCAGCCTCGACCTCTCTCTTAACTGTTCTTCCCGAGCCCCACAAGTGCCCCCCACCCCACTGGGGACCCACTGGACCCCAGGCTGCTGCGCGGAGGGACCTGCGTCTCCGGATGGTCAGTGCCCTCAGAGAAGCAGTCCTGTCAGGCACCCGGATCTCACCCTGAGGTCAGAGCAGGGAGGGCATCTCACTCACAGATGAACAAATAGCTCCGAGGGGGTTCGGTGGCTTGTGGAGGGTGAAATCGTGTATAAAAGAAATGTCTGTCCAGTTGAACCCAGAGTCAATAAGCATCCAGGCCCCAAGCTGCACACCTGGAGTCCAGTCTTGGCCCTGAATGCTGTTCCCCACCAGATAGACAGACAGACAGACAGACAGGTAGACAGATGACAGAAAGATACTGACGGGTAGTTGGGGGTGAAGGTGGTCACAGAGAACACAAATGCTAAAGCAATGAGGTCAGCTTTAATAGGCAAACCTAAATAAAGGTTCTTTGTGCTCATCTTACCCTAACTTTTGTGTAAGTTGGAAATATTTTCAAATAAGTTAAAACCACAACAAAAACTACCTGTTCTGTTTTTCATTTCTGGTACTTTTCCATTTGCTGGATAATAATTAGGTCTTAAGCTGCACTAATCCTTCCGATGTTCAAAGGTGCCAGAGCCGCCCTGGCCGGTTTGGCTCCGCGGTTAGAGTCAGCCCTCGGACCAATGAGTCGCGGGTTCAACTCTGGTCAAGGGCACGTACCTGGGTTAGATAGTCCCTGGCCCTGGTCAGGTCTGCAGTAGGCAACCAATGGATCTCTCTCTCCCTCTCTCTCTCTCTCCACTCTCCTCCCATCTGATGATAAACAGAAAAACATCCTGGGTGAGGATTTGAAAAAGAAAAAAGACAAAAGGGGCCTCCAGGAGCAGTGCCTATGCAGCAGGTCCCCCCACCCCCACCCTCACCCCCACCTCTGGGGCTGCAGGTCAAGGGGAGAAAGTGACCTTCCCCGGGTGTACACAGGCTGGACTGAAGGTCTGCCACCATGCTCTGTCTGCCCCCCACCAAGAGGCACCCAAATTCTCAACCCCACTGGCTTGAAGGCAGCCCACCCACCCTAACGGGTTTCCCGGCCCCTTTCTTGTGAGTCTAGGTTACTATTTAACAAGGAAGCACAGACCTGTCGAGGTCAGGCCTGGAGCCCCGGCTCCCCGGGGGCGGGGGGGGGTCACTCCCCGAAGTCTCCACCTGGAGTTGGGCGGGCCTGCTCGTCCTTGGTCCACCTGTGCGCACCCTTCACCTGTTCTTCCAGCGGTTGAAGGTGGTGGCGGCGGTGCCGGTGGTGGAAACTCGGGGGAGGGGGAGCGCGGGGCGGAGTTGGGGGGCCGGGGCGGAGCGAGGGCGCGGGGTGCAGAGGGACGGACAGGCGGGCGGGCGGGGACCAGGCGCTCCGGCCGCCCGGCGGCAGCTGCTGGGCGCCCGGAGCCTGGAGTGCGGTCCCGGGAGCCGCGAGCTGTGCGCCCCATGTCGATGCCGCGGAACCGGGATGAGGGCGCCCGCGCTGCTGCCGCCCGCGCTGCTGACCTGCTGCGGCTGGCTGCTCGGCCCGGTGAGTGCGCGCGGCCCGTCCCCGACCCTCGCCGGCCCCGGAGGACGCTCCACGCGCCGCTGCGCCCCTCCCGAGTCCGGGCTGGGGGACCCTCCCCAGGGCCGCGAGGAACCGAGCCCCAGATCCGGGCTGCGAGGCCGCGTTTGCCCTCCTCCCTGCCGCCCTCCTGGACTTGCTGGAAACCGGACCCCGTGTCTCGGAGACGCTCCTCCAGGACGAGCTGGGTCTCCCGGGCGCGTCCCTCGGCCCTGCGTGGGGACGGGCTGCGGGCACCTGCGCGGGCTTCGCCTTCCAGGGGAACCGGAGAGTCACCGGCCCGCTGCCGGCTGGTTTGTTTCCGTGTCAGAGCCAGTCGCCATGTGGCCCGATAAACTTTCCTTTCGGAAATGTTCTGCTTTGATTTTTTTTAAATAGAATTATGTAAGAGCACCGGAGGAAATGATACACTGAACAGAGGTGTGTTACTACATTAGATTCTTTATCAAGACTTCTTCCTTTTCTTTGAGGACCTTAAAAAAAAGGTGGCGACCACACTGTTCCGTGTGTCGCACCAGGATCAGGCTCCAAAGCTTCAGGGTCCCTCAAAGCTGTGAAGCCAAGGGCGGAGTTAGTCGGGGACGCTGTAAGTGACAAGACATTTGGGGCTTTCGGGGTGTGAACCCACCATCCCTGCTGTGCTGTCAGGACAGCTGAGACTCCCCACCCCCCAAGGATGCTGCCCATTTCAACATCTCGGAAAAGCCAGTGGGCTTGGGGTGGTGAGCTACACGGCGCAGGGCCCAGATGCCGTTGTCTAATTCTGCACCTGAACCCGTGTAAGTCTGTTAACCAGTGTCACTCCAACAAATTTAATGAAAATAGGGTGAAAGGTAGCTGGTTAAAAGCAGCCAGAATTATTATGGGTAATGCTGCTTTAACTTCTGCTAGATCCCAGAATAAGTTATCACATCACAGGAGTGTCGGGCATTATAGTGCCTTGTGATACCTTAATAAAAAGGTATTTCTCTTTTTAAGTCACTAGGATGTCCCCAACCCTGACATTTAATCCGTCGACTGTTCATGTACGAAAAATGCTGGCAGCCGGGAGCTTCTCCAGTTGGTGGTTGTCCAGTAGTGAGCTTGGGGTGGGGTACAAGTTTTACGTCTTTTTTCTAAGAAGAGGGTAAGTGTAGTAAAAGTGTCTAGCATTAAGTTTCTTTTCTGAATTCTCTCAGGAAACTGTCCTTGTTAGAATCATAACTGGCCTCTCTCAGCATCATTGTTAATAGTAGGACAGTGAAATGAGGCGGCTGGAACATGCTCAGGAGCATGGCTTTCTTTAGTAAAGGCAGAATTTGGTTCAGACATGGGAGGGGCCGAGCTGCAGCCAACACTGTGAGTGCTCAGTGGGGGACAGGTAGTAATAAAAAAGAGTGTTGGGCCTTTGTAAAGAGAGAACAGAATATGATCTTCTAGGACGGAGACCTGTGGGCTTGTCCTACGCACGTGAACAGACAATACCTGTGTCACATGCCAGCCCCGTGACACATCTTCCTTCATGGCACTGATGTGATGTCCCCATACTCCCTCTTCCCAGCTCCCTTTTAATCTCTTTGAAAAGCTCCTTCACTCCAGAGCCTTAAGCTGAGTTTCGAGTGTGACCTGCAGCCCCTAAGAATACAGTGACCCTGCCCGGGCTCTTCCAGGGACCGGGAGGCCGTCCGTAGCTGCAACATGCTGGCCTCTGGAGTAAACACGCCTTCACTGTCATGGAATCAAGGCTATGGCCCGGAGGACTCCAATGTGGGAAGGTTGCTAGTTCAAGAGCTCAGTTGTGCAGCATGTGCTCTGTTGTCAGCCTGTGTTCCTGCTCGGGACACAATTCCGCTAGGTTTCTATTTGCCTTATAATTCCTTCCCAAAGTAAATAGCGATATTGGGAAAAACAATAACAATGCCAGAAATATGAAGGTGATTGCTTTCAGATGAGTGCTAGTCTGGAAGCAGTTTTAAACTCTGCGGTTTGGGTTTTTTGGGGGTATTTTTTGTAGAACATTTACTTGAGTGTCCTCTTAGGGTAGAATTCTTAGTTGTTTTTATTTTATTTTTTTAACCTTAACCAGGTGAACAGCATTCACCCAGAATGCCGAATTCATCTGGAAATACAGGAGGAAGAAACCAAATGTGCAGAGCTTCTAAGGGCGCAGACAGAGACATACAAAGGTAAGGCAAGGGCTTTGCCAGGGAGACTGTCCCCCGGACCAATAACCTGACAAGCAAACAGCTCAGGCCTCGCTCTGCAAACAAGTGTTTTAAGGTTACCTGCATCTTAAAAAAAAAAAGTTTGTTTCCACTGCTTTTTAATAAACTTCTGGTAAAATGCATATAGAGGAGAAGGTCCTTCACATAAACCTTTAAAAAGAAAGTGTTAATCCTTAACAGAAACAGTTTCCATGGTTTGAGATAATAGCAACTGTTACTAAAATAATTCCATGGGCGTTGTCATGCTTTGCAAAAGCAACTCCGTTTTCCATGAGTATTTATCTGATTCCTTGCATTTTAAATTCTTAGTAACATCACTGAGAATTTCTGGTCCACTTAAGAACTACGGAAACTCATCAGAAATCAACGGGAAAATTAGGTTTTTGTTCTCCTGAAGGCAGAGCTATTGTGAGCACCGTGAACTTGCTGGTTTCATTTGCTTCAGGTCAGAGAAGTGCTGGCCCACGTCCCTCGACCGGGGCACACGCACACTTTATAAGCTCAGCAGCTCTGGAGTGGCACCTAGATTGTAAACAGTAGGAAAATCTTTTGAGCTTCAGCTTTCTGTTTCTCTATTCTGTCATTAGTTCATCCTCTTCAAGGAAAAATTAAAGTCAAATTAAGATTCTGTGCTAAAACAGTCTGGTGTGCTGGACACTGCTGCCCTGAGCGTCCCTCCTGTCCCTCCCTTCGCTGACGAGGGGCCTCTGGCTCCAGGGTCCCTTCCAGCGTGAAGCACTGTGGTTTGGCACCTGGCCCTGGCTGCCGCGTCTTCCTCGTGGTCTGGTCACACTGTGTCCAGAGAAAGGCTGCTGACGGAGCTCAGCTCCACAGCAGACAGAGACTGAGTGTCCTGTGCAAAGCCGTATGCTGCCCGCTGCCCGCTACAAGGATAGATGAGACTTGGGTCCTGCCAACCAGGGCCTCCCAACAAAGCAGTTGCCATGGCCACTGGGGTCCATTCCCTTCGGTGAGAATCAGGAGACTTAGGCAGAGTCAAGGCCATCAGGGTCATCTAGTTAGTGGCTGTGATCCCAGAGCCTGTCCACACATTCCAGGAGCAGGGGGCAGCAGTGGGTCCACAGAGTCCTCAGTCGGTGACCCCCAGGCCTGCGTGAAGCCCCCGGAGATGGGATTCTCCCCCTCTCACCATCACTGCATGGTCGTCCAGCTGCAGATGGGTCTGGGGCTGCCCACAGAGGCATTAATGTGCCCCCTGGCACAGCTGGACTCGTGCCAGTGCATCTTCCAACCGTTAAAGAGCATTTGTAGGCTCTGCCTTCTCGTCCCAGGCCAGATACTCCAATTCCAGGACCCCTCCCAGGTCCCGGCCACAGCTCCGGGCACAGACACTCCTGGAACGGGAGAGGGAGGAACATCTCCCCAGTGACACTGCGGGCCCACGGTTGAAAAGTTCTCAGCACACAGTGGACCTCTGCCCACGCCCCTCTCATAACTGGTGTGTCAGGGAGAAGCTCCTGAGATACTCTTAGCGTTTCTCTCCTTGTTGGATTCCCGACATTAGACAGGACCGTTTTGTAAACAATAGAAAGTGGCATCGCCCTGGCTGGTCTGGCTCAGCGGTTGCAGCATCAACTTGCGGACCAGAGAGGCCCGGGTTCGGTTCCCGCTAAGGGCACGTACCTCGGTTGCAGTTTCTCCCCGGCCCTGGTTAGGGTCATGTGGGTGGCAACCAGTCAATGTGTCGCTCTCACATCGATGTTTCTCTCTCTCTCTTCCTCCTACTCTATCTGAAGATAAAAAAAAATGCAGAAAGTGGCCGTGGGCAGCAGGGACCTTGCCCATGACTGTCCCTTGAGGACAGCCCCTCACAGTGGGTCAGGGTGGACTGGACTGTGGACAGAGGATGGTGGAAGGACCATCTGTAAGTTTGTTCCAGCAACCCACCCCCCCATTAGATGCACAACTGGGATTTCACGTAAAAGACCCTCTGGTTGGCTCGCGCAGGTGGGATTGTGGCGTCTACACCTTCCGAACAGTGTTCTCTCGTGTGACTCTGCCGGGAAGGCACAGGTGTGAGCCCCGGTCCCTGGCCAGCCGTTCACGAGTGTGCATGAGTGTGAGCTGTGGGCCACGGCCTGGCGGTGAGGAGATGGGGGCAGTGAGGATGTGCAGGGTGGAGAGGGTGGCAGAAGGTGAGGACCTGGCTGTAGGAAGGGGCTCCTCACAGCCCTCACGTGTTTCCTGAGGCAATGCAGCCGCCAGACTGCCCAGCTTCCCATTTTCAGAGAACATTAGAGATGCAGCCTCTACACAAAATATTCCAATTTCTTAAAAGTTGGCAAGTGGCACTTAGAAAGCTCTGCAGGGGGCAAGCAGACCTCCTGTGTGGCAGATGCTGGCTGTGCGGGGCACAGAGGCTCACACCCTCCTCCTGAGCCCCTGCCTTGGGCCCGGCTCCCTCGGCGCTGGGCTGAGGGTGGCCCACCTCAGACTCGCGAGAGGCCAGTGCCGGGGCAGAGCCCGTGAAAGCCACCAAGTCCACCGGGCTTCCCCGGGGCAGAAAGAACAGGGCGGCTTCAGAAAGAGGCTGTGGAGCATCTCCCGTGTTTGCAGTGGGGGGAGACGGCGCTCGGTGTTCTTGCAGTGACGAGATCGGCCCTGGGACATTTCCTTGTGGTGGAGACTCGGATGGCTCCGTTGGGTCTGTGGCAGAGGCGGGACTGAATTACTTCCAGCACCTGCCCGGAGAAGGGCTCCCTCCCAGGCCAGCTGCCCTCAGGACAGAGCCGCCTCTGAGGCAGCCCAGGACAGCTCGGGCTCTGAGCGCCTGTCTCCTCACGACTTCCAGGGTCACGGCTCCGTCTGTCCCGCTCCGGAGAGGAGCTGAGGCCGGGGGCCGCGTGGGAGCGGGCTCCCTGCCGGACGGCGGCCCCATGGGTGCTGCGCATCCCTTTCTGGCGCTCTGACTGAGATGAGGCATCAGGGTCTCGGGACCTCAGTCTGAATTCCGCAGGATTGAGGAACTGGTGTGAAAGTCACCAGAAGCAAGAAAACACTTGTCTGCTGTTCCAGCGAGGTCGTTTGTAAGGAAAGAAAAGCTGAGGCGGCAGTCAGAGCTGTGTGGGTTCATACTGACTCATCGCCCAGGCCCATGTGCACAGCGCGGGGCCAGGCCCCAGCGTGCGGCAGGGTGGGGGGCAGGTGCCAGTGGCAGAGCGGGTCCCTGGGTGGAGGGGGGGCTGCTCCTCCAGAGGCGACAGAGAGGGGACGGCAGGCCGAGGCGGGAGCATGCTCCAGGCAGGAGGACAGAGGAGGTCGTGGGGGGTCGCCAGCACTGGGACCATTTTTGGCGAAAGGTCGGGGAAGCAGGAGGAGGAGCCAAGGGCAGATGCAAAGGTTTGGCCCCCGAGGAGGGGGCAGTGTGAGAGGCAGGGTGAGGATGCAGACGGCCAGTGCGGGGCACAGGGGTCCAGGGGAGGGTCGCCCTGGGCTGGGGGGCTGTGAGGTCACTGGAACTGTGATTCCTGGGGCCTCGGGCAGCTGGCCACACTGGTGCCTTGTCTTGCAGAGGGTCGCCCACAGGAGGCGGGTCTCGAGAACTGTGACTGCCCATGTCCGGAGGAGCAGGACCAGGCGTCTGTGCACTGGGCTGTCCGGACACTCGGGGTGACACCCGGCTGTGCTCTGGGTGCCGTGCACTGTGTCACGCCCGTCGTAACACTGGGAGATGGATGTCGTGGACAGATCCTGGGATGTCACCCAAGTCCTGAGCGTAAATCCATGGAAGATTATCCTGGGGATAACGTGGAGGATGCCCCCGAGTCCCAGCCTCATCAGGCCTCCGGGAAGCGTCCCCAGGGAGCCTGCCAGAGTTTGCGGGGCACCAACCCAGCCCGAGTCAGCAGCCCTTGGAGGGACAGTTCTGGGAATTTCAACGCACTGTTAGGACACTGGGCTGTTCGCAGGAGGGACAGCAGGGACGCCTCAGTGGGCCACAGGCTCAGCTCCGCGTGCAGCACCCTCTCCGCTCTCCTGGCCGCTCACGGGCTCCAGGGGCGCGTGCTGTGCGGCTGTTCGAGGTGGGAGCGGCTGTGCCACCCCGTCCTGGGGCGCGGTATGCTCAGCTAGGCACGGTTGATGTTTGGGGTTCATTGCATTCCGCATATGTTTCAAACATACAGGTCAGACTGAGCTTCTGTGAAAAATCCTTTTGTTCGGGAACAGCTTTGGTCAGTTCTGGGTTTTGAGTCTTGGTTTAATATTAGTACAGGTCCCAAAATATGTTCCCCATTTATGAAATCCCCCTAAACCGTCACCCCCAAAATACAACCTTGCTACGTCCAGACTGAAGGCCTGAAGTGATTGATTTCAAAGCACATCCGGGGGCACGGTCCCAGCACATGGTGTCCTGGCCACACCTTGTCGTTCCTGTCTGGTGGGTGAGGGCGGGGCGTCTCTGTGACCTACTCAGACAGATACCGGGGTGCTCTGGAGGTGTGTGAGGGCAGGTCCCTGCAGCACGGTCCCTGTAGCATGGCACAAATGCTGTGGAGTCCCAGCTGTGCTGTGGGTGTCCCATCCCCGTGTCCTGGGGCTCCGCCCAGGCTCTGCCGCTGGTTTTCCGGGGCCTGAGGCTCAGCCTGTGCCCTCGCCTGCGTGCAGCGGAGTTTCGACGAGCTGTGCCCACACGGATGCCCCATGGGCAGCGAGTCTAGCTGCCGGCCCTCGGGGTCGGCCTGGGCCACTCGGGACGCTCGGTAACACTGGTGGATCAGTGAATACTTGTCACTGCACATGTCAGGAGGACGTGGCTACTGCCCACCTAGGCTCTATGTGGGCTCGAGAAAGTGCAGGTCACTGGTTGGACTGTGTATTTACCCCTGTCTGTGTCCAGGGGCACTTAGGTTATGGTCACGTCACACCCTGCCCTGTTATGTTAGACCGTCACTGCCGGTTGTAACAACCTCTTCCGCCTGTGGTCTCTGTTCACTGTCGCCGGCTGTCTCTGGGGAGAGACACTTCGCACCAGAGGCCTGATCCACCCAACAGCCGTGGCTCTGGGCGTCTCCCCTCCAGACACCACTCCGCTCTCTGCGCCTGCCAGGAGCCATCATTACCGGATGGCAGCCTCTCCAAAGGGCACCTGGCACGTGCCCGGCTTGGCACACGTGTGGATACACGTTCCGAACCCCACTAGCCAGTATTTTCAGAACAAATGCTGCAAAGTGCATCCTTAGCATGACGGAAAGAAGGGAACTCCAGGTAGAGGCATTCTGTCGTCGCGGTGAATGCTCCGATCACTGGGATCCCCTGGGACTCGGCATTACGGGGTGCTGTCATCGACCACCTGAGCAGGCAGCAAAGACAACGTCTCCTCCGGGAGCTGCCTGCCGCCCGGCCCTCGGGGTGGCCCCGTGAGGCCGCTGGTGGGCGTCTGCTTCTGGAATCCAGGTTCCAGCAAATAGCCACATTCACAGAGAAGCACAAGCAATTTTTTAAAAGAATTTTCCATTGGTGAGTCGTTCCATTCGGCTCTGAAGCCTTTGTATTGACGACAGGCCGGAGGGGACTGGAACAGAAGACAGGTCAAAGGTTTGACCATCACAAAGATCATTCGTTTTTTAAAGATTGTTGGGTAAGAATTCTCGAGCTCAGAGGACTGTAGGCATCTCCTCACTCGGCACAGTCCCTTGGGGGGGGGACTGCAAGGCCGAGCCTGCACAGGGCTCCCCGGATTTCACCGCAATGGGAGGGACGCAGATCACAGCCAGCCCTCCGCACCCCGGTGGCAGAAGGCGTGGCGAGAACAGCTGCCCTCTGCTCCGCTGCCCTGTCCGTCTTCATCTGGTTCCGTGTTTTCCTACAAGAACGCAGAGCGGAAGCCGAGTCCTGTCCTCGGGGAGCAGCCGTGAGTGAGCTCGTGAAGCAGAAGAGAGGGACCGCATGGAGCCCGAGCTGGCCCCGCCTCACCGTCTCCAGGGGAACCCACCTCGCTCTCCTGTGCCCTTTGCGTGTGACCTTGGCCCAGTGTGGATGTGACTCCGTAGGAAAGGTGTCCACACTACTGCTTCCCTCCACACACAACGCTGGTGGCCCTAGGGGCCCTGGTGCCCCTTAAAGCTGGGGACTCCTCTGGGGACACCAGAGTGACCACTGAGTTCTTATTTTCCCTTTGCAATTGGCGGGGAGTCTGGGGGCTGCTGGCACCGTGCAAAGTTCTGGTTCAATTTTTACTCCCTGTGGATGAACTGTGCCTGAATTTTACTTGATGATTCAACCATTCCTTGCACATCACCAGTGGTTCTCCATGAAGACCTTCCCTCGTCAAGGGGAGAGCAGGGTCGAAGGACAGGATAAAAGTTCAAGCATTTGGGGGGCCCCTGTTAAGTCCTTAATAGCTAGATTTCCAACCAAATAAGTATGTCATCTCTGCTAGTCTGTGTCACAATATAATGCATATGGAGGGTTTAGACGTGGGGGGTTTCACTGTGTTGCATCCGTACTGCGGAACATTCGGGAGCTGTTAGACACGATGGTGCGCAACGTGAGAGTACAGTAGTGGTGCGCTCAGTGGGGAAGCTCGGAAGCTGCCGCATGCAGTGTCCCCACTTGGTGAAAAGAGTTCATGAGACTCTGTGTGAGTCATGCCAGAGGATGGCGTGTGGCCCCAAAGGCAAGTCCCCTCCCAAAGTGGGGACCAGGCTCCCTGTGTGGGACCCGAGTGGCAGGATTGCTCCCCCACAGCCTCTGCCCCTGGGGTGAGGGCGGCCTGAAAGGGCTGTTTGGACAGAGACCTGGGGATGCTCGTGCTGTTTAGCACAACTGCGCAGCGGGGGCTCCTCTTGGGGGACTGGACACCTGGCTTCCTTCAGGATTCTGGCCCTTGTCATTGAGGCAGGGGGTCTGGGGGCTGCAGAGGGGTTTTCCCGCCGGGGAACAGCCAGGTACAAGGTCCTGCGCGGGGAGAGGAAGGCTCCTTGTCTGCCTGCTGTCGGCAATCGGGAGCCCCGGGAGGCTGGCTGGGGAGCCCCGGGAGGCTGGCTGGGGGGCCCCGGGAGGCTGGCTGGGGAGCCCCAGGAAGGTGGCTGGGGAGCCCCGGGAGGCTGGCTGGGGGCCCCGGGAGGCTGGCTGGGGGGCCCCAGGAGGCTGGCTGGGGGGCCCCGGGAGGCTGGCTGCCCCGCAGAGACCGCAGCACCGTTTGGCTCCCCGGAAGCTTTGCTCTGTGGCTTTCAGTGTGAGCTTGTGAACGGAGGGTGACATTTGTTCTTAAACATGGAGGAAGGGATGATGTTGGCTGTCACCTGGCCGGACACCTCAGTGACACAAACAGAGGTTCCGGAGACACCAAACCCCCCAAACTAAACACAGAGGTGCCCATTTGACCCCATCAACAGGAAAAATTGAATAAATCTATTAAACCTCAAAAGTGCACCCTGGCCGGTTTGGCTCAGCGGTTAGAGTGTTGGTCTGTGGACCAATGAGTTGCGGGTTCGATTCTGGTCAAGGGAACATACTTCGGTTGTGATTCATCCCCGGCCCTGGTTGGGGTCATGCGGGTGGCAGCCACTCGATGTGTCCCTTTCAGGTCGATGTTTCTCTCTCTCTCTGTCTCCCTCCCACTCTATCTGAACAAAAAGTCTTAGGGTGAGGATTAAAAAAAAAACAAAAAACAAAACAACAACTCAGAAGTGCACCGTGCAGGTTGAATTACTCCCACGCTTTCTACCACAGATTTGGTTATTTTTCAGGGCTGATGACAGTGAACATCAGTAAGTATATTCTCAGGAACATCAGTGCACGTTTATTTCACAGAAAAATAATTTGCAACATAATTCTCTAGCGAACAGACTCTCTGTCTGCAAAGCGTTTAAACAGACCCAGTCCCGTGAACCTGGCCCTCCCCGCGGCGACTGTGACACTGTCCTTCCGGCCTTCCTTCTGCCCCCTTGCAGCCTGCAGCGGCGTCTGGGACAACCTCACGTGCTGGCGTCCCGCAGACCTGGGTGAGACCGTCACGGTGCCCTGCCCAACGGTGTTCAAGGTGTTCAACAGCCTTCACAGCAAACCAGGTACCTCGTCTGTGTGCTTCTGAGCCCCCAGGGCAGGTCCCCCTTGGGGGTCGGCCTCTCCGCGAGGCGGCAAGAGCGGGCATCCATCCTTTACTGCCAGTCCGGGAACCCCTGCACCTCGTGCGCCTGGCTGGTTTTAGGGAGTGGAAGGGCGTCAAGCTTCCTGCTGGGCCGTCCACCTTGGCCAGCCGCAGGGAGACGCAGCCAAGTGACACCTCTGTGCGTGAGCCAGATGTGCAGTCGAGGGGCCTGAGCACCAAAGTGGGCGTGGGGGGCAACGCAGACAGGGAGCCCTGGGTTCGGCACGGAGGCACCCAGCACACATATAAACCCAGCCATGAACCTTTAGACAGTCTGCCAGGGGCTTGAGGGAAGTGAGGTTCCCTGGAGCCACGAGCCGGGGGGATGGGGACATGGGAGGGGACAGCGGCCAGGCTCCCGCCTGGGTCTGCACTGGGCTGGCTCCTCAGTCCTCAGCTCCACGTTCTGAGTGGGGTCCTGTGACCTGAACACCTGCTGTGTTTCTGGAAGATCACAGGGTGCTGAGGGGAGCTGGGGTCCTCTGCCCGGTTCACTCGCTGCAAAGTTCCTGGGCTGCTTCCCCAGGAGGTGGTTGGTTTTCCTGTGAACGGCCCAGATGTTCAGGACATGACGAGCTCTGTCTGGAACACGGGAAGGGACACACCTGGGGCCAGGAGGGCTGTGGAGATCCCTTCACCCTGGGCCGGTGGGAAGGGTAAAACGTGAGAACGAGGATTCTGAGCGTGTTGTGCCGGACATCGGGTGGAGGAAAAGGAGACCCAGGAGAGAAAGGCTTTTCCTCGTCCCTGGGACCAGCTCGCTCAGACGTCTGGGCTTTATTTTCCAGGAAACATAAGCAAGAACTGCACTAGTGATGGGTGGTCGGAGACATTCCCGGATTTCATGGACGTGTGCGGCTACAGTGACCCCGAGAAGGGGAGCAAGGTAAGGGCCCTGAGGTCCTCGAGTCTCCAGTCCACCCTCCGGAAGGGCAGCAGACACGCTCCCGCCCACCAGAAGTGCTCGGCTCTGCCTCCTGCCCTCGCAGCCAGATCCAGCCAAGTCGCAATGTCGCCCGTTTCGGGGTCTGTGAGCTGGAGGCGCGAGAGGCGGGTTCCCTTCGCCTGCAGCCCTGAGCTCCGCCCGCTCGAGGGCCCTCTCTGCCCTGGGTCTCTCTGTCCCCTTCGCATCCCCTGGGATCTGGGCTGGCGAGAAGTCACACAGTTTCTTAGCCCTGAGCCAGCGGTGGAGACGGCCCAGCTCTGGACGACCTCTGCAAACCGAGGGCGGAGTCTGTGCTGCCCTGTGGCTTAGGGGGTGACCTGTCCCCGGTGTGTTGGGGGCTCCGTGCTGGCCGCACAGTCCAGGGAGGTGAGGAGAGGTGAGCAGCGAGCCTCCTGCAGGAGGTTCAGGTCACGTACGACTTGGCTCTGCCCCGGGCCCGTGTGCCGCCTCCGCAGCCCGTCCGGGGACCTGGCTCTTCGGGTCTCGTCCTGCAGCCTCTGCAGTTGCGGTTTCCCTCTGCCCTGTGGGCCCCCCGGGCGCCTGCGGGTGACATTCTCAGCGACCGTTTGCGAAGCGTCTGGGTTCATTCTGCAGCCTGCGTGAAGCCCAGAGCATCTGCAATCTGATGCTTTTCCGTTCAGCCTGCAGAGCTATTTTTCTTCTTAGTTAAACATTTCATAGATTCGGCAAATGTCACGAATGCATAGTCCCTGCGAACGGATTAGAAAGTCAAAACATTTTAATGTAATTTTTCTTCCTGATGGCAGTTTCCATGAATACTTTGAATACTTGGTTGTTTAGGGAACAAGATGAACAACATTTCGAAGATGAAATCTGCGAGGCCAGGACGGGCCCCAGGGCAGGAGAGGTGCCGTCCCAGTGCCCGCGGGTCCCTCGCGCGGGGCAGGGGCCGTGATGGGAGCCGGCTCTGCGGCCCCTGGGGCTTACGCTCCCCAAGTCAGTTCCCATCTCGTTCCCCGCTCGCTTCTTCCAGTTCCGTGACTTTCGTTGCTTTTCCTGCCCTCACAGAGCCGAGCTCTGCCCTGGGTGGTTCATGTGCGATCTGTGTTGGTTTTGAAATTGATTAAATTCGAGGGAAAACACAGTCACCTCCACAAAAGCCTCAGGGTCGGCTACATCGGCCGAGGGACTCCACAGACAACAGGGAGGCAGGAGGGGACGCCCCTGGCCAGGAACACAGGGCGGAAGCCCACAGGACGCTCAGACGCCTCTCCTGTCCGGCTTCCTTCCTGCACCAAAGGCTGTCTTGACTCCCTCGGGCCGGGACCCGGCCTGGTTCCCGCCTGCTGCCCACTGTCCCCATCTGTGGTCTCCCGGGGACGCTGAGAGCTGGTGAAAATGGACACAACTAGGTATTTAGCCGCAGGATAGTATAGTCTCCGTAATCCTTCCTCCTGAGTGTCGGGAACCTCCCAGAAGAATCTGTAAGAAGCAGAGCTGTACCCACCTTGCTGACTGCCCGCGCCACGCCCCTGGCCCTGGCCCACCACGCACAGCCCCTCTGTGATGCCCGCCAGCAGCCTGCTCCGGAGCCTCCTGTGCTATGGATCAGCTGACACAGCTCTTAAATAGAGAACACTTCTGCTAAATTTAGCCAAGACAACTGCTTGGCATTTCAGCCGTCCAAGGCATCAAACGGACTCATTTCTTCCATAATATGCCATATTCCTAAAAATATGTCTGCTCCGGCCTCTCGGTGTTCAGAACAGCACCTTGGCTCTTTCCCACTGACCGCTACTGTCCCCTCGGCAAGTCCCCACCTGACGTCGGAGATGGCGCCACCCTGGCACCCTGTGCCGCGTCCCCGAGGGGCAGCCCGAGCGGGAGGTGGGGCCGGGCCCTGAGGGTGGCGAAGGGTGTGTCTCCAGGGAGTGGACGCCCCACATTGCTTCTGGGACGGTTGCGACCTGATCACTTCAGGACAAGCTCACGGACAGCGTCTCGGCCTCGCTGCACGTTGAACGGCAGGAGGAAATGCCCACCGTGGTCTAAGGGACACGTGAGTGTCGTCCTCATGACAGCTCATCAAGCAGTAAGGTGACCCCCGGAGCGGGACAGGGAGGCAGACGGGCGAGATCGCGCAGGTGACGGGCTGGGTGGGAGGAGGTGGCACCAGAGCATCCGCATCGACCGCGCTGCCCACGGCCGCCGTGGAAACAGCCCCTCAGGCCCCGTGGAAGTCTGGCCGCCACGTGCAGAAATGCAGTCCGACCCCGCTGTTAGCTCCTTCGGTCTGATCCAATGGCACCTGCAACACAGGTGCTCAGTACTTGCCCAACAAAGAAATTGCGTTTCCAAGGCCTTGGAGAAAAGGGGGGGAGGGGAACCTCCATGAACCCACTGCCGCGGGTGGGGGCATCAGGTGGCAGATGCTGAGGGAAGTGAAGACACAGAAGCCGGGGGTCAGGCAGGAGGCTCACAGGCGTGTGTGCTGGGGGGACGCCCACCTGACATCGTACAGGTGGGTCTAAGCCAACGTGATGAAAACTCTGTCAGGGAAGGACCCGCCCGTGAGGGAGGAGCCACAAGTCGCCCGCTGGGACCCAGGGCCCTGCCCAGGGGTGTCCAGACTCCATGAGTCGGAAGGAGATGATGAGGACGAGGTGTGTCCATGGGGTGGGGGGAGGGGGCTGCAGCCCTGCTGAGGGTTGAGCGGACCAGGCAAGTCTCAGCCCAGAACTGAGTTCTGGGGGATCTGGTCCCCCGACGCAGGCCCTTTGGTGGCTGTCACAGGAGTGGCCGTCCTGGGGAAGCTGAAGGCAGTTTGCGGTGCTGGGAGCCACCCCACCCCCTGCCCCTCGGCTGACCGATGTGCTGAGAGCGGGAAGCGTCCCTGGACCACCTGGCCTCCTGCCTGATCTGAGGTCATGGTGATGGCGTTTGAATCAAGGACTCAAACTGTGACTCAAACACGCGGCCCTGTTTCGAAGCACCTGTCTGCCAGCACCACACGGCGACCACTCCTGCCTGAAACCCACTCAGTGGTGGTGCCGCGGGCCCCGTGCCGTGTGCTCGGCCCCTTCCGTGTAGGAGACGTGGCGGCTTCTCGTGTTCACCTCCTGCCCCGGGCAGCCTGTGGGGCCTGCAGCTACAGGGAGGCCTGGGCGTCAGGAAAAGAGCTTAAAAATACAGAACTGAGTCTAAACGCAAACGTTTGCTCAGGTGGCAAATGAATCGCCAGTTCCTGGAGCATCAGCACCGAGGTCCTCGTCCCCTGAGACTGTCGACGTAGAAATGCCTCCTGGTCACAGACCTCCCGGCTGCCCCGGGGCCGCGAGCCAGGGGCCCAGAGTCGGCACTTCCAACAGCCCATCCAGGCGAGGCCCGGCTGCGTCAGGCCCGGCTCCTGGTTCTTGCTCTGCGTCTGGGCTGCTGTTTCGCCCAAATCACTTTGCCTCCAGAATTTGGGTTGCACGTTGGGTCACAGTTTAAGAAAAGGAAGTGCATTCCCTCCGTTCATGGAGGAGAAACTGAAGTGGGTCAGGTCGTGCAACAGGCCCGCTGTGGCCACATCACCCGCCTGGCTGGGTTTTTCGGCTTCACCCTGTGTTGGGACGACAGGGCCTCAATAATTCAGAGGCGTCTCCTTGGAAGAGAAGCTGTTCATGCAGAAGCTGAAGCACCACCTGACTTCCCCGCTCCCACCGTGACCATGGACGTCTTCGGGGAGCAGCCGCACTAGCCGGACCCCGCGTTTGACTTAGGAGAATCTGGACAACGTGGGGGAATCGGAACACGGCATAGGGACCCTCACTGTCCCCCAGGCAAGGGGACAGCGGCTCCGTCAGGGAAGGAGGGCGTGGCCCCCTGTGCAGAGATTTGGCTCGTGCTCACCCCTCGCTGTTCTCCTGAGTTCTCGCTCTTCACCCAACGTGATCCCAGACTCTTCAGACCTCTCAGGGCTTCTGGGGTCCAGGTTCCTGGTCAGCATCAAGCAGAGGGGCATCGCGCTCCTGTGGTCTCTGTTTCACAGATAAGGATGGAGACTCGGGGCCCAGACCCTCATCTCTCTGAGGCCCTGAAGCTCGGTCCCCTTCCCATGGGCAGAGACGCTCACAAAGACCCCCCTTCCCCCCAGAGGCTCTGAGGGAGGTGCCGCCAGTCTGCACGGGACCTGGCACGAAGCTCCACCCGACGAAGACGGTGTGTGCGCTGAACACGAGGGGGAGTGCGCAGGTCAGGGGTCGATGGCGCCTTGGGAGGGGGGACCCGGCGCCTCAGTGCGCAGGTCAGGGGTCGATGGCGCCTCGGGAGGGGGGACCCGGCGCCTCAGTGCGCAGGTCAGGGGTCGATGGCGCCTCGGGAGGGGGGACCCAGCACCTCAGTGCGCAGGTCAGGGGTCGATGGCGCCTTGGGAGGGGGGACCCGGCGCCTCAGTGCGCAGGTCAGGGGTCGATGGCGCCTCGGGAGAGGGGACCCAGCACCTCAGTGCGCAGGTCAGGGGTCGATGGCGCCTCGGGAGGGGGGACCCAGCACCTCAGTGCGCAGGTCAGGGGTCGATGGCGCCTCGGGAGGGGGGACCCGGCACCTCAGTGCGCAGGTCAGGGGTCGATGGCGCCTCGGGAGGGGGGACCCAGCACCTCAGTGCGCAGGTCAGGGGTCGATGGCGCCTCGGGAGGGGGGACCCGGCGCCTCACGGTGAGGTTTGGGCCCTGTGAGCTGTCGTGTGTGTTATCCGTGTTCCGTGCTTTGAAACAGATTGACATATTTCATTACAGCTGAACTCGCATCACAAGGTGAAATGATGGAAAGTCATGACCCCCAAGTCAGAAAAGAAAATATAAAATGGACAAAAACCTAAAAGTAGAGTTTTTGAGGACATTTTCTAAACCCTAGCTTGTCTTCCACATTTTTCTGAGACAAACGTGAATCTGCAACCTTGAAGACAAAAAGAATGACGTAACTTCCCACGTCCCCAACTTGTCCACCTGAGAAGGACATCACCCTCCAAGGGGAGGGCTCCCCTCCCTGGTCCAGACTGCCTGATGTGAGACCCAAGCCGCTGCGAGAAGGAAGGGAGAGGAGCGAACACACACTCACACACACCCCAACACACGTACACACACTCTCACACACACTCTCGCTCACCCACACACCCACACTACAGAACACAGAAGTAGGAACACTTTCTTCCCGTACGAAACCTACATTGGAAGTTGGAAATGAGTTGGCTCCGTCGGCCGGGGGCTTGGGAAGAACATGGGGTTCAGCCGTGCCCCCCGCCTCCCCATCTTTTCACTGCTGGGTTCTCCTCTGTTTGGTGTGACCGTGGTGTTCCCAGAATCCTGTGGTCATCAGAGCGCACAGACGTTCTCGAGACAGAAATCGCCCAGACGGAGCTGAGTGCTCCCTTGTGGAAGACACATGGGAAGGGCGGCGGGCCCTGCTCCAAGCCCAGCCTGCTCCTGGTGGGGACAGGGTGCTGCTGGTCCCAGCATGGGGACCGTCTCCGGGAAGCGGCAGGGACGGCCTCCGGAATGTCCTCCACACCCTTTGCTGTCCCCCCAGGCAGACCTGTACCCAGGGCACACACAGTGCAACAAGGGACAGGTGGGTGTCTGAAGGGGGGGTGACTGGGGTGCGGACGGATGTGCAGCTGTGGAAGGGGCTGTCTCGGGTCCCAGGACACCAGCCGCGAGAGCAGGTCCTGAAGGGAGCGGCATCCTTGGGCCCGGAAACTGTCCCCTGATCCCACGCTGGCCACCAGCTGCTCACAGATGCGACTTTCTTTCTTTACAGATCACGTTTTATGATCTGGTGAAGGCCATTTACACCCTGGGATACAGTGTCTCTCTGATCTCCCTTACAACCGGAAGCATAATTCTTTGCCTCTTCAGGTAAGTGGCGCAAATAAGCAATTCTGCAAGAAATATGAGATGGGGGATTATCCATTTACTCCACCGAGCCCAGCAGAGGAGGAAAGAAAAGTCCCAGCCTCGAGCCCTCTCTGTGCTAAGCTGACCCAGCGCCCCTGGGGATGCAGTGTGAAATGGGGTGCCCTATTTACATTTTTATTGAAACATTCTGCACTCCTTCTATAAAGAGAGAATACTGCCCTTGGATAGGAATCCAGTTCAACCATTATTTACCAAATACAGCCATTATGCAAATGTGAAAATACAGAAACACACATGCTGTTTGGGCCATTGATGCTTGGCTGAGAGACACTGTAATGTGTTTACTCTGAACGTGGGAGTCAGACTGCCTGGGTTCAGGTCCTGGGCCAGTGTCTTTGCAGCTGTGTGACTTGGACAAACTGCTTAACCTCTCTGTGCATCTGTAAAGTGTGGATGCTAGTGGAACCCACGTGGAATACGGTGAACACTGCACTCTGCCTGTTTATCCCGTGGTAGTTAGGTCAGCGACCCCGCCGCCCACCTGGAACCCCCTTTGGTAACTAACAACATGTTTGTCCGGTTGGAGGGTGGAGACCTTTTCCCAAAGCAGACGCCTCTAAGACACGCTGATGAGCGTGATTGGGGTTGAATCCATGTCTCAGGCATCACTGGCACTAAGTAAAATAAATGACATGCGATTCACTTTAACAGGTTCTTGCTCACCACATATCTGATTTCTCTTTGCTAAGATATGATTGCAGTGTTGACCAAGAGTGAGATAAAATCAGTGACATAACAGATGGAACGTCATTAGAACCTAAAAGCCCACAGCAGATCCATATTTGAAAGTAAAATAAGAGAGTCAAGAGGGGTAAGGAAGCCCGGCCAGTGCGGCTCAGTGGTTGAGCGTTGACCCTGCACCGAGAGGTCTCCGGTTCGATTCCCGGTCAGGGCACATGCCCAGGTAGTGGGCTAAATTCCCAGTGGGGGGCGTGCAGGAGGCGGCCAGTCATGTTCTGTCTCATCAATGTTTCCATCCCTCTCTCCCTCTCCCTTCCTCTCTCTCTAAAATCAATAAAGAAAAAAAAATTTTTTAAAGACTGGTGAAGAATATACCTGAGAAATCCAGCAAAGGTAATTAAATTACACCTATATCAGGTGGCTGGTAATTCTCAGGAAATATAAACACTGAAAAATGTGGGCAACATCTATCATATTGCAGTTTTTTAAAATAGCTGGTACCACATTAGTGTTTGTTATACTATTTTCTGTGCTTCACTATATATTTTTAAATCTTCAAGTTTTTCAGGATAAAAAAGGGAACATTCAGGAGAGTAACTTAAACTCGAAAGAAATATTTCCATTTGTTTTCGGAGAGCTGAACCATCTATGTTCTTGTCATCGAGGGTTTCCTTGGATTTGTCCTATGTGACTTACTCAATTAACCAACCTAGTGGCATTTTGGAATCTGTCGAAGCTACAGCCGTCATCCTTCAAGCGAATCTAAGTGGTTTTAGGAGTATCGCACGCAGCTCCTACACGTGGACATCGTCTGCCTGGGGTGCCTCAATGTTCCGCGGTCACAGACACAGCCGCAGGGCTGGGACTGTCCCCTTCCTGCCTCCGTCTGCCACACATGCTTCTGCGTCCGATGCCCCGTCCCGGACGCTGTGTGAGTGGTGGATTCTAAAGTCCTCTTAGAAGCTCCATTGTCCCCGCAGTCGCACCCAGGGAAGGAATGCTTTGCAGTCTCCCAACATCTTTCCTCCGTCATTTCCCCATAAGCTACGAAAGCATTAAGCTACCATGTCCTTATGTTATGCACAGAAAAAGGGGGTGGTTTATCCAGGTCCCGGAGTGCGGTGGGGGCTTGGATGACAAGCACGCAGCCGGGGCGTCGGGTGGTCATGGCAGCTGCCATCCTGAGGGCTGCCGGTGGCCCAGGCACTTGGCACGCAGCTCTGACCCCCTCAGGGCCCGGGGTGCAGCAGTAACTGCTGACACAGCTAGGCCCCAGGTTTTACAAGTGTTTATAAGTTAGTTGTCATGGCTCCTCCACAGCGGAGGGCTCCTGGTGCCTGGCTTCGCCCGCACGTTAGAGGAGGAGGCCCGTGTCCCGGGTGCTGAGCCTGGGTGTGCACAGCCTTCAGGGGCTGGGGTGGCTGCTGCGTCCATGCGGCGTTGCGAGGAGCCCGCTGCGGCCTCCTGTGTCTGGCATCCACACTTGGAGCTGCGCTTGGCATCCACTGGTACATCTGCACTCGGAAGGGAAGGTTTCAGATGAGCGATGAGAGACAAAGCGTGAAGCTCGAGGAACATGACGTGTCCATGTGGCTCAGCACACGTCTCTCTGACAGCGATGAGCCCCAGACCGGCTCCACAGGAAGACACGGGCGGAACGCGGGAAGGAGAGAAGATAGAAGGGGACCAGATGGAAGAGGCGGTTTGGAGAGAAGTCTCGGGAAACAGCCGCATCAGCCTAGGGACTTGGCTTCTGAAGGGGGAGCAGCGCCCACACTCCGGGAGCCCAGGTGCCCCACAGCGTTGACCCCACAGTGTAGGAGTCACCGCAACCTCAGAGTCACTCCTAGACACCAAGAAACCCCTGTGCCTGGTTCTCCCCTGGCTGTGCTCCGCGGCAGCTTCAAGCACGTTCCACGGAGCGGCTTCCAGGGGCAGCTTGATGGGTCGGCAAATGGGCATAGGCCCAGGTCGAGAGCAGGACACAAGTTTCACTGGGAGCCACCCTCATGGCCACCGTGTCACAGCCGCCTGCCCCAGAAGGTCAAGGTCGCCATGATCTGAGTGTCTGTCACTGCAGAGGTCTTTTGCCTCTTTCTGAACAGGCTGTCTTAGACTCACAGGACGGAAACTCCTCCGTCTGCAGGCTTTTCCCCTCAGTGTGCTGCAGGGAGTCCACCACGTTGTGCGTGCGGTTACCTGTCCTCACGGCTGTGTGACTCGAACACCACCTGTCATGGTTCAACCGCTCGTGGAGACAGGGTGACTCCTCTGTGGAGCTGTAACCGTGAAGCCGTGGATATTCTTACACGTCATCTCTTGCACATACGTATACGCTTCGTGTACACAATTACAGCGATGCTCACTTCCTGTTTATGCTACATGTACTGGTCATAGGCTCTGCGCAGGTTCAGTCTTTCTAGATGCCGCCGGCTAATTTTCCAAAGTGGTGGCCTCAGCCAAGCCCCCAGTGGGTATGAGGCTTCTATTCCCTCTGCATCCTCGTCCCCGTTTATTATTGTCAGTTTTTAAAAGGTAGCCATCCAGTTGGGTTTATAATAATAATAGAAAATTCTGTTTTTTAATTTGCATTTCCCTGGTAGATAATGAGATCATACGTTTGGAAATCTTTTTTTTTAATGACCCCTTCAAGTGTTTGCTCATTTTTCTTTTCTGTTGTGTGTCTTTTTAGACACTGATTTTTAGGAGTCATCGAGTAGGAAGGACCTTGTCAGATTTAAGTATTAGACATTTTACCTCCAGTCCCGTGGTTTGACTTTCCAGTCTCTTAATGGGTCTTTTGATCAAGAAAATTTGTTGTTTTTAATGAAATGCATTTATCATTTGTTTCTTGTGGTTGGCGTTTCCCGAGCTCTGTTTAAGAACTCGTCGGCACAGTCTTTTGTCATCGAGATATTTTATTATTTTAACTTTCCATGGTTAGGTTTGCAATCCATTTGCCCTGTAGTTTTGTGTACGGCAAGAGGTGGGGTTCAGTTCGTTCATCTTTTTCCGAGTGTGTCTTGACTGAAAGATGGTCTTCACCACATGCTGCTATACGGCTGGGACAAGACACTCCGTTCCGTTTGCCTCTGTCTGTCACTGTCGTTTTTTTAAGAATATGTTTTTATTTTTTTTAGAGAGAGAGGAAGGGAGAGAGAGATAGAAACATTGATGTGAGAAACACCCATCGGCTGCCTCCTGCACGCCCCCTACTGGGGATGGAGCCCACGACCCGGGCGTGTGCCCTGACGGGGAATCGAACCCGGACCTCTCTGTCCCTAGGACGGCGCTCAGCCCCTGAGCCTCGCCGGCTGGGCTCACTTTGCCCCCTGGACACTGTGGTGATCTCCACCAGCGTGAGCCTGTCAGCTTTCGTTTTCACCAGGAAGCGTTTGGCCATTTGCACTTGCGTGTGGATTTCTGAAAACCGGTTTCTCGGTGCCGTTTCAAAAACGTTGCAGCCTTTCATTCGGATAGACTCGTGTCCTCATAACTGAATCGTTCCGCCTGTGATGATAGATCCTCTTGTTGTTTCATTTCTTTCCTTTCCTTTCATTTCTCTCGGTCATGTTGCACGGTTTGGTCGTATCTTGCACATATTTGATAGTCATTTCTAGGTATTTGTTTATGGTATTTTACATATTTTGTTAAATTCCATTTCTAATTGTTTCTAGGAAAGAGTTGGTTTCTGCATGTTATATTCTGTATATCCAGCAACCTTGCTAAAACCATCGGGCAGTCTACAATCACTCTGCAAATTCACAAAACGGGTCTTTGGGTCTCTGTGCCTCCCCCTCCCCCACACAGGCGGCTGCACTGCACCCGGAACTACATCCACCTGAACCTGTTTCTGTCCTTCATCCTGAGGGCGGTCTCGGTGCTGGTCAAGGACGACGTCCTGTACTCTAGCTCGGGCACCCTGCACTGCCCCGACCAGCTGTCCTCCTGGGTAAGGCTGTGCCGGCTGCGGGGCCTCCGCCGCGGGGAGGTGGCCTTCAGGGTCCCGGGATCTGACCCACCTGCTGGTTTCTCTTGTTCTCTTTCTCCTCTGTTGTTAAGAGAGGTAGTGGAGAAGGGGCAGAGAGGGAAGGGAGGGCTTGGGGGATGAGGACGGGGCGAGAGGTCAGGCGAGGAGCCACGTGTGCCCAGCTCAGGGTCACAGCGATGAGCGCGCTGCAGGGGGCTGCGGGGTGCACACCTGCCGTGTGCGTGTTCGTCTTCCAGCAAAGCCGTACATGTGGCGCCGTCGATGCCGGGGTCTCTAACACGCACACCTGCCGTCAGCACCTCTAGGTGGGGTGTCCTGGTTCCTCACACTAACGGGGGTGCACTGTGACCGCAGCGTCTGTGCCCGAACGGCACACGTTCTCTCGCTCTGTGACCTCCAGGTGGGCTGCAAGCTGAGCCTGGTGTTCTTCCAGTACTGCATCATGGCCAACTTCTACTGGCTGCTGGTCGAGGGGCTCCACCTGCACACCCTGCTGGTGGCCGTCTCCTCCCCCCGCCGCCTCCAGGCCTACCTCCTGATCGGCTGGGGTAAGGACGCCCGCCTGCCCCCACCCTGGGGGCCCTCCTGCTCCTGCCCCCTCGGGGACACCTGGCTGCCCCGTGGGGTGCACTTCGGGTCATTAGAGGAAGAGCTTGTCCAGGGCAACCGGAGACCCCTGCAGCCAGCACGTGGCCCAACCACCCCTCGGCCCTCTGCAGGAGCGACCCAATGGGGGCAGGGAGACAGAGGCCGGGAGGAGGGGCAGGAGGTCCCAGACTCGGACAGGGGCAGCGCTGTGGGACACCCACTCAGCGAGGGGCACCCTCCACCAGTCGGGGGCACACCCCTTCCACACTTCAGCAACAACACTCACCGAGCACAGTCCTGAGGGTCGGGCCCCTGCAGGTCGGCTCGCAGACACGCTCAGTTCCCGACACAGTTTACGAGGCAGGAGCACAGGCCCGAGTGTGCGAACAGCTTCCGCCTCCTCTCGTCAGAAAGCCGGGTCCTTGGCGGCCCTGGCTCCGGCGCTGCTCCCGGCCAGCGAGCGTGGGCTTGTGGGTGACCGGTGTGTCTCTGCAGGCATCCCCACCGTGTGCACGGGCGCGTGGACCGCGGCCAGGCTCTCTCTGGAAGACACGGGGTGAGTGCCGGGCCCTCGTGTGAGCAGCAGTCACACTGACTGCTCCTGGTTCCGCCACCTTGTGATGCTGCTGGACAGGGAGCGCCCACCCCCGCTAGACCCACACGCTGCGGGTCCACTGGACTTGACCTGCCCCTCTCCAGGCTTCGGGGTTCCACGCTGCTGTCACCTCCCCATCAGCGGACCATCGTGTTAAAAAAAACAAAATCACTGCCAAGGGGCGGGTCCCGTCGGGTTCTCTGAACACACATGTGCCTTTCGAGTGGGCGTGTGGGCGCCAGGAGGGACCTAGCACAGGCCAGGGAGGTGGCGTCTTCAGGGGCAGGACCTGGGGAAGCTGAGTCCACAGGCTGCCCACCTGTCCTCACGCCGCTCACCTGTCCTCACCGCCGCCCACCTGTCCTCACCGATGCCCACCTGTCCTCACCGCCGCCCACCTGTCCTCACCGATGCCCACCTGTCCTCACTGATGCCCACCTGTCCTCACCGCCGCCCACCTGTCCTCACCGATGCCCACCTGTCCTCACTGATGCCCACCTGTCCTCACTGATGCCCACCTGTCCTCACCGCCGCCCACCTGTCCTCACCGATGCCCACCTGTCCTCACCACCGCCCACCTGTCCTCACTGATGCCCACCTGTCCTCACCGCCGCCCCACAGAATCGTGGTGACGGTTCTCCGTCTCTCCTCCCTACAGCTGCTGGGATACCAACGAGCACAGTGGTCCCTGGTGGGTCATACGAGCACCGATTTTAATCTCTATCGTAGTAAGTAGTTTCTTCTACAGGGAGACAGGGGTCACCGTCGGGGCACACACGTGGGCAGAGAGGGGCTGTGTCCTGCGTGACACATGCATGGCCCTGGCCGTCACGGGGGGCGCACCCCTCGAGGAATGGACTCTGCATCCTCAGGAGGAGGTCTCAGAGCGGGGGCAGAGCAGAGAGAAAGCTCAGGTGTCTTCCCGGTGGGGAGGGACCTCTGGGGATTCACCGTGAGGCTGACCAAGGAGGACATGTCTGAGTGGAGCCGCATTTCAGCTTGTCCTTCTCAAGTCTCGACATTAATTCACGCACGTCACCGCAGCTGGGCCGTCATTTGTGGTGCACGGGCAGACAATGTCCAGCTCAACCAGGGGCCCCTCCAGGCTGGGCAGGGCTCCGGCCCTTTGTAAATGCAGCCCAGGCCCCACCCCAGTGAGAAGGGGCCCAGTGGGCTCTCTCAGACGCCCAGGCCACGCTGGCCTCCCTTGCAGGGAATCAGGAACAAATGTTTGTCTCTTTTGTGCAGGTCAATTTTATCCTTTTCGTGAGCATCTTACGAATTTTACTACAGAAGCTGACGTCCCCAGATGTTGGAGGCAGAGAGCAGTCACAGTATAAGTGAGTGTTGTGTCTGTCCGGCCGAGCTGCCCTCAGGGGCTCAGCCTGGAAACCGAGCACCAGGGGACAGAGCAGGTGTGCGGGCCCCGGGGCACCAGCCCCAGGGCACTGACGACTGGCCCGAGGCCCCCTTCAGTGGCTGGTTGCAGGGGCCCGGGGACCTGCGCCAGGTGAGCCCCACCGCATCTCAGCGTGGACTCCTCCGGGAGCCTGTGCATCAGGGCGTCTTGCCCTCTGTCCTGCTTTGTCATCTGCCGTTGCCGCTTGGTCACATCTTATTTGTAGTCTATGTGTGATTCTTCCTTCTCCTCAGACCACACTGTGTCGGGCCTTGTACTTAATAATGAGGAATGTGCAAGGAGAAATAAAGCCCACACCGGGTGCACGGAGTAACCACACGTGCAGCGTGCGGGGGTTGGTCCGGCGCCAGAGCTGCGGGCTCAGACAGACCAGGGTGGGAGCCAGGGCAGGCGCCTGACGGCCCGTGGTGGCCCACTCACCCGTGTCCTCCCCACCTGAGGAGACAGCCGAGCGTCTTGGGGGTCGGGAGTCAGAGGCGGGGCGCACACCAGCGGGAGGCCTGGGGAGCGGCTGCACCTCCGTGTCCTCATCAGTGAGGTGGTGGTGATCACACTGACCCTCACTAGGTGTGTGGACCATCGAGTCAGTGTCACAAAGACATTCAGGGCCGTGCGCTGGCAAGTGCTGTGGTGAGCAGAGTGGTCCCTGCCGCTTCGCTCTATCACGTGTTTTCAAACACATTCATTATGAAGTTCATCCAGACAGTGGAAAAGATAACGGTGTGCGCTCAGTTGTCTGAGTCAATTACACACCCTGTGTTACAATAACAACTAAAGTTACTGCACGTATGGACGTGGGCCTGTGTATTCGAGCACCCGGGAGTCCTTCAGCACCAGGTGCAACCGCTCGAGTCCGGAACGGATTAACCGCGGTGAACGAGGGACGACTGTACACGACCGGCTGGACAGAAGCCGAGGAGCCCCTCTCTGTCGGCTCAGTCAGACAGCCAGGGGTCGCGCGTGCACCCTGTCGCCCGGCTCAGGGTCCTTCTCTCTGCAGGAGGCTGACCAAGTCCACCCTGCTGCTCATCCCGCTCTTCGGCGTCCACTACATGGTGTTCGCTGTGTTTCCCATGGGCATCTCCTCCAAATACCAGATCCTGTTCGAGTTGTGCATGGGATCCTTCCAGGTGCGTATGGGGGGCTGGCGCCCGGGCCGCAGTGAGCCCGCTGCTGACGCCCTTCTCGCCCGCAGGGCCTGGCGGTGGCCGTGCTCTACTGCTTCCTCAACAGTGAGGTGAGTCCTCCCGACAGGTAGGTGGGTCCTGAGGGACTTCCCAAAGTGCTCCCGACCGGACCCAGACCCACGCACCGAAGGTCCCACCTGCAGCCTGTGGTCTCGAGGCGCCAACAGCCAGGGCCACACTCCCTCCCGCACCCCCGGGGCCCCTCTGTGACGCGCCAGCTGTGGCCGCCAAGCCCCTCCGCACCTCGCGTCGCCGTGGCCCAGTGCCGGGCAGGCCCGCTCAGGGAGGTCGGGGGACCCTGCCTCTGTCCACAGTCGCTCTCTTGCTCTTTGACCCCAGATGTGAGCCCAGAGTGGCAGGGGGCAGACACACCCATAGGAACCTTGCTCCCTGAGCGCCCACCTGGCGCATGTCGGGAGCGTGTGCAGAGCGCCCCCTGCTGGCCCTGCCCTCTGGCGTCCGCTTCCTGTAGGCCATCCTGACACCTGGGCTGCAGTCACCTTGGCAGCCCCCCAGGGCCCTGCCCCCTGACTGCCCTTCGTGCACGTCCTGCCTGGGCTCCTCCCCTCCCCCCCCAGTGCTTTTCCGCCTCTTTCTGCGAAGCCTCAAGTCCTGCCCCGCCTGGCCTCAGCAGGAGGGGTGACGGGGTGTCAGGCCAGGCCGTCCCCAGGTCCTGCTCCTGAATCTGCCCCTCACCCCCGCTGGCTGCTGCTGTGGCCCCTCTGGGCTCGTGTCCCACGAAGAGCAGAGCCCCAGGCTGAGAGCAGGGGCTGTGGGCAGGGGCGGGGGGGGGGGGGGGCGGGGAGGACACGCACAGGCAGCACTCACAGCCCGGGGTGCTGGTCCCAGCCGCTCTGTCTTCCCTCGCCCAGCCCATCCTGCTCCCCGCTTTCTCCTGCTGGGCATGGACGGTCCCCACACAGCATCGGCCTGCTCGGCCCGAGCCCCCACGCTGGCCTCAGCCGCTCCTCCATCTGCCTGTCCTCATTCTCCCCACTGTCTCCTGGGCTCTGGTGTGTCCACCGCTGTCCTGCGGACTGAAGGGGCCCAAACCAGCTCCTGGCCTCGGGTTCCACAGCCCGGACGCTTTGTTCGGCCTCATCTGCGTCCCTCCCCTGTCCTGCCTCCGCCCAGGCCCATTCCCGGCTGCCGGTCTGACGGGACAGGAGGGGGCAGCAGGAGGCAGAAGGGAGCAGTTGTCTGCCCAGGCCCGAGGGCACAGCCCGAGCACCCGCCTGACCCCACTCCGCTTGCTTCCCCGGCCCAGGTGCAGAGTGAGCTGCGGAGAAAGTGGGGAGTCCTGTGCCCGAGCCAGCCCTCCAGCCGGGGCGACAGGCTCCAGAGCCTGTCCATCTCCAGGAACGGCTCGGACAGCACCCTGCATTTCCACCGCGGCTCCCGCGCCCCGTCCTTCCTGCAGACGGAGACCTCGATCATCTAGCGCCTGCCCAGCCCGCCCGCGTGCTGGAGCCGAAGTGGGGCGTGGGCCCGAGTGCCGGGGGTCCACGCCAGCTCAGCACTCCGGTCTCCCCTGACCTTTCCATGGAGCTGGGCCTCGTAACGCGACGAGGACCCGGATCTGGTTATCGCTACATTTACACACGTAGGCGATTTTGTTCATGATGTTGGGCTGTGTGGATGGGCCTGTCCCGAAGAGAATAGGGGACACCGAGTGACCCCCGAGACGAGATGCACTGGCCCAGACCTGAGTCCAGCCGCTGCGGAAGGAAAACGATGCCTTTCTAACCTGGATGCCTGTCCTTGGCGGGGAGCCGGGTCCCCGGTGCATGGCCCCTTCACGGCCCCCGCCTGGGGCCCACAGGGCGGACGCTGGTCTGCGGGACAGAGAAGCCCACTCTGCAACGTCGTCCCGCGAGCGAGGCGGGTTCCCCATCCTGGGCCTCCTTCTCCCCGCTTCCAAGGCCACAGCAGCTGGGAGCAGCATGTCCCCACTGAGGGATCTGTGCTTCGGGGGGGCCTCTACCACTGAGCAACACCCCAGGGGGTCACTTCAGGCCCCTTTACCCAATAGGCCCCTGGTCGTCAGGGCAACGCCGGAAACGGCATTTTATCTGGTGGGAACAAACCTGTTCTCTCTTCTTCTCCAACCCTTGCCTGAGGATGTCTGTCTGTTGATTCTCAGAGTGGAAGGGAGCGAGACAGAGAGAGAAACATCGATTGGTTGCCTCCAGCACAGGGACGTGCCCTTGACCAGAATAGAACCTGCGACTCTCTGGTCCTCAGGCCAACGCTCCAACCGCTGAGCCACACTGGCCGGCCCGATTCCCTTTTTAATGAAAATAATTGTAAAGTCATTTCTGTTGAAACGGAGAATTTTTTTGTTGCTGTTGTTAATCCTCATTTGAGGGTATTTTTCCCATTGAGTGTTTAGAGGGAGTGGGAGGGAGGGAGGGAGGGAGGGAGGGGGAAGGGAGAAACATCGACTGGTTGCCTAAGTGGAGAATTAACACCCTAAAAATGTCCTGAGCTCTTCGGTCCAGTGTTGGCAGACAGCGGTCCTGGCAGACTTGGGGCAGGTCTGGGTGGCTGCGGCCACAGCGGGGCGGAGGGCGGACAGAGGACGAAGCGCCCACACGTGTCCAGGCCCTGGTGGCACCGACATACTCTCGGCCCACACTCAGCCCAAGTGCCTCACCTGCTGCACCCGCTTCTTCACCCCATTTACCACACTGGTCCCCCTTAAAGTGGAGGCGATAGTCTTCTTCCTGTGACGTCAGTCCCTGGGCACGGTGCTGGTGACTGGGATGGTGGCCGGAGCAGATCCGGGACAGCGGGCCGTCCTGTCTGGGCAAAGGGGGATGTGGGCCAGCACCTCGGCTGTGTCCAGACACCCCGGAGCTGGGGCCCCCTCAGAGGGCCTGGTGAACCCAGCTGGACAGCCAGACCGCGTTCACCTGGCGCCCTGCCTGCGCCTGGCGTCCTGTGCCGGGGGTGCTGTCTCCCTCCGCAAGCAGTCGCCCAGCCCAAGGAGCCGGCACCGGGCACCTGCCCAGGACCCGAGAGGGAGCTGGAAAGTGAATATCACTGCCCACCGGAGCAGGTGACCAGAGTCCACGTGTCCTTTTAACATGTCGTAAAAGTGTCCGCGGCCACGTGCGAACACGTCAATAAACCTGATTTCGTACCCTGCACTGTGTCAGCAGTCACTGGAGGCTGGGGTCCCACACTGAGGACGGCTCATGCTGCTGAGCCGAGTGCCCTCATGGTCAGCGCTGGGATGAGGAGGGAGACAGCCACCCTCCCAGGCGCCTGGCCGGGGGACATCCTCCTGAGAGCGGTGGTGGGCAGCGGCCACGCTCCCCCAGTCCCAGCGCGGGGTCTGCCTGCGGCCACCCCAGCTCCGTAGGCCCTGAGGACCTGCTCACCGGAGGCGGGCGAACACGTCTGTGTGTGCATGTTGTGTGTGCACCTCGGAGTGGCCCCAACCTCATTTATGCCACAAGCAGGTGAAATCCACTTATCATAAACCCCATGCTCACCCTCACTGCGTCGTTTCAAGAGTAGAGCCCACGCCTGAAATGTAAACTCAAGATGACGAAGTCAGAAATGAGAGGACGGGCAGACTGTGGCGAATTTCCTAAGAGCAAAGCAGGCAGAAGCAAGGAGACGGCTGGATCCAGCCTCCTGCGGCCCTTGGGCAGCACTGTCGGCCGGGGGAGCTCGCTGCAGACGCCTCGAGGGAGACGCACCTGGCGGGCGGGCAGAGGCGCTGCACATCCCTTCCCGTCCAGGTCGGCAGCTCGGTGGCTCCGTTTCCAGGTGGCTGATGTCACACAGAGCAGTTCCCCAACCTCAGCTGTTACGGAGAACGTGGGAAACTGCATTGCAGCCTGGCTGCCCGGCTCCTCTCTGGAGGTGGACACCGTGAGTGACCGGTGCTGTTCCCAGCGTTTTCCCCTGTGTCTGCAGAGCTCTCTCTCTGGCCCACTCTCTCTTTTATCTTCATGGAGGTTGGGTCGTCCTGCAGAGAAGTTTCTGCAACGTGCTTCTCCGTGCGGACGGACAGTGTGGGTCCTGCACAGGCTGTGGGTAGTGCGTCCCGTCCGCCCCACCCCCGCTGACGAAGTGCCAGGTGGTTCTACACTTTGCGTTGGCAGGTGTTTCCACAGAGCAAACCCCAGAGGTGGGCACGTCAGCTGGGCACCAATGCTGAGCCCCTGGCAGGTGCGGCCACCCCAAAGGCTGCAGGGGGCACCTCGCCCTCTGACACCACGTCCCTGCCCCCGCACAGTCCGCCTGCCTGCACATCTGAGGGCCGGCGAGCTCCCCACGGAGGCTGTTTCTCCAGTTCTGGTTTAGAGTGAGCCCCACCTGGACGCAGGTTCTGTGCAATTTTAAAAATTAGCTTCTCTCCCCCCGGGAAACGGGGACACGGCTCAGCAGAAACCGTCGCCATGCACGTCCTCATCGACCACCCGGCCCGTCGGGAGGCCTCGCCGCACTCATAGAGCGGACGTTACAAAGGATTTAGGGCACCTTTTATACGGAGAAATGTCCTTTGGAAGAGGAACAGAAAGGACGCTCGCTTCCTTTATCTTCTCTGAAGGTTTAGTGGGGACAGTGCGTGGGTAGAGGTGGTGGGGGTGGTCGCCCGGCTCATGAAAACAGGGACCCAGAGCCGGCACAGCAGGCCTCAGCGTGGACACCCAGGCAATTATCGGGCTCATTTCCAGACTTACATTCAACACTGGGAACTGGAGCGACAACAGGGAAAATAAGCTGCTGCAATGTCGTCAGACATTGTGAGACCAAGTAGGCCAGCCTCCCTTGTTGAGATTTAGGGGGTTCAGCTCGTGGGCCGCAGGCTCAGGTGATTACGTCTAAGAAAATAGCACACCAACGCAAGCTTTCGTGGTTTAAATAATTACAATTGTGAATCTAGAATATACAAGGTTGTGATTTTCAAATAACGTCATTACAATCCTCTCAGCCAAAAAACAACATACACTAGCCGGGCTGGTGTGGCTCAGTGGGTGAGCGTCGACCCTGGTTCGATTCCCGGTCAGGGCACATGCCCAGGTTGTGGGCTGATCCCCAGTGGGGGGCGTGCAGGAGGCCGCCAGTTGATGTTCTTTCTCATCGATGTTTCTATCTCTCTCTCCTTCTCCCTTCTTCTCTCTCTAAAATCAATAAAGAAAAAAAAATGTTTTATAAAAAATACACTGAAGCGCTGTAACGAAGGGCCTCACGTGGGCCAGAGCGGTGGGCTGGCAGGTGAGCCCAGGCGACCTCCTCAGACTCTCCCCTGCCTGGCTGGCTGTTGTTCTGAGAAGGGTGTTTACTGTAATAGGATTAGCCCAGGGAGCCATTGTTCAGGTAAATGGATTTTCAGGAGGTGTTTGAAGCAAACAATTCCGCTGTTTGCAATTTCACGCTGGAGGAGTGATTGCTGGGGAGGGGATTCGCACTGAGGCTGCTGTGGGCCTGGGTTTTGTTCCTCCGGTTGGGTTGCAGCCTGTCGCTGGCCTGGGTCTCTGACCTCATGTGTCTTTAGAGCCCAGCCCGAGTCAGACACCTGGTGCCGGGGTTTGTCAGGAGGCCGGGGGCAGGGCAGGCAGCCTGAGAAGATTCCGCCCATTTCTCAGGTGGGCACTGTCTCATGGGTGAGGACAGAGACCACTCAGGCCTCGTCAAGGGTTACTGACCCGACAGGGAGATGAAGGGCAGTAACCTCAACAGCCACCAGCCAGGATGTTTGGGGGCCCCGGTGTGGCTCCTGGTACGTGCAGCGTGTGAGGGGCGCTCGGGACCCCCAGCGGCTGTGGCTTTGCTCAGCCATCTCGGCCTCCCTCCCCTCCAGCCAGCCTTCCCTGCCCTGTCTGTGGCTGCATCTCTTAGCCTCCGTGACCTGCCCTCCGGTGTAGCCTGTGTGTCCCCCCAGTCAAGCTCCTTCGGAGAGGCCTGTGCGGTTGCTGGACTCAGGAACCAGGGCGGCGGCTGCCCCGCGGATTCTGACTGCTGTTTACAGTAGCCGAGAGCCAGGGTTTGCTCGTCAAGGGGGCCTGTGGTACCCTGCGGGCCCAGACCGTGCGTCAGGAGGAAACAGCAACTACAGAAGGACTTGTCTTGTGCTGGGATTCTTGCCGAGAGAGCACAGAGCTGTGACCATCTAAAGAAATGCCTGCATCTTCTTGGGAGAAATCATGAACGGCTCGGAGAAATGGAGGGTGGCCCAGGGCTGCATTGTTCTCTGAATTCTGGGCCTGAGGTGGGCTGCCCGGGACCTCTGCTCTGGGCCAAGGGGGACACATCGAATGTATGAATACGGGGTGGCTGCCTGAGCTGCCCCGCTCCCCGAAATCCAGCCCGGGGAGCCTTGCAAACAGCAGACCCTCTGTCCAGGGTTTGCTGAGCAGGCAAGTGAACAGATACAGACTTGTTCCCTCACTGGCCCTGTACAGCCTGATGCCTGAGGGACCACTGGCTCCGTGCCCACCGTCCACCAGCAGTTGCTCCAGGATACCCAGCGTTGGTGACAGCAGCGTCTACGTACCAGGAAACACAGGAACACGGTCCCTGCTCCAGTCACCCACAGCAGTGCGGAGGGTGCTTTCGTTAGGCCTGTTTTACCAAGTAATCACGGCCGCAGAGGGTCAGCCACACGTCCGCAAGGGCCCAGCCAGCGCACTTCCGCAGAAACTGAACCCACAGGCACCTCCCGTGGCTGAGAGGGTGAACTGAGCTGAGAAAGAGAATTCGGCTTCGCCTGAGAAGCAGGTACCGGGTCAAAGGGCTTTGCTTTGAGGTAGGGATACCCCTGACCCAGTGCCACACCTGTCTCCTCACCTGCCTGGCCCTCGGGCTCCGTCCTGGAAGACAGGGTTCAGGGGTGCTGCCCTCTGAGCCAGGTGGGGCCTCACTGTTGCAGAGGACAGAGGTTTTGGTGAGACGGCCCATTTCTTACGAGTCCAGGGCTGTCACTTCTCATCTGTGTTTCTGGGTTGCCGGTGATACCCCATCTGGTCTTCGTACTTAGGGTGCACTCGGCCCACTCAGAGCAACAGACACTTCCTGGCCAGAGCGATGAC